AAGGTATCACCAGAGCTAGATGACCTGTAAGTATTTATAAGTACCATATTTTTATTTACAAATTCAACACCACAAAATTCTGCATGACGAGCTAGGCAGAAGGCGGAGCAGTCAAATAATAATAATAATAATAATAATAATAATAATAATAATAATAATAATAATAATAATAATAATAATAATAATAATAATAATAATAATAATAATAATAATAATAATAATAATAATAATAATAATAATAATAATAATAATAATAATAATAATAATAATAATAATAATAATAATAATAATAATAATAATAATAATAATAATAATAATAATAATAATAATAATAATAATAATAATAATAATAATAATAATAATAATAATAATAATAATAATAATAATAATAATAATAATAATAATAATAATAATAATAATAATAATAATAATAATAATAATAATAATAATAATAATAATAATAATAATAATAATAATAATAATAATAATAATAATAATAATAATAATAATAATAATAATAATAATAATAATAATAATAATAATAATAATAATAATAATAATAATAATAATAATAATAATAATAATAATAATAATAATAATAATAATAATAATAATAATAATAATAATAATAATAATAATAATAATAATAATAATAATAATAATAATAATAATAATAATAATAATAATAATAATAATAATAATAATAATAATAATAATAATAATAATAATAATAATAATAATAATAATAATAATAATAATAATAATAATAATAATAATAATAATAATAATAATAATAATAATAATAATAATAATAATAATAATAATAATAATAATAATAATAATAATAATAATAATAATAATAATAATAATAATAATAATAATAATAATAATAATAATAATAATAATAATAATAATAATAATAATAATAATAATAATAATAATAATAATAATAATAATAATAATAATAATAATAATAATAATAATAATAATAATAATAATAATAATAATAATAATAATAATAATAATAATAATAATAATAATAATAATAATAATAATAATAATAATAATAATAATAATAATAATAATAATAATAATAATAATAATAATAATAATAATAATAATAATAATAATAATAATAATAATAATAATAATAATAATAATAATAATAATAATAATAATAATAATAATAATAATAATAATAATAATAATAATAATAATAATAATAATAATAATAATAATAATAATAATAATAATAATAATAATAATAATAATAATAATAATAATAATAATAATAATAATAATAATAATAATAATAATAATAATAATAATAATAATAATAATAATAATAATAATAATAATAATAATAATAATAATAATAATAATAATAATAATAATAATAATAATAATAATAATAATAATAATAATAATAATAATAATAATAATAATAATAATAATAATAATAATAATAATAATAATAATAATAATAATAATAATAATAATAATAATAATAATAATAATAATAATAATAATAATAATAATAATAATAATAATAATAATAATAATAATAATAATAATAATAATAATAATAATAATAATAATAATAATAATAATAATAATAATAATAATAATAATAATAATAATAATAATAATAATAATAATAATAATAATAATAATAATAATAATAATAATAATAATAATAATAATAATAATAATAATAATAATAATAATAATAATAATAATAATAATAATAATAATAATAATAATAATAATAATAATAATAATAATAATAATAATAATAATAATAATAATAATAATAATAATAATAATAATAATAATAATAATAATAATAATAATAATAATAATAATAATAATAATAATAATAATAATAATAATAATAATAATAATAATAATAATAATAATAATAATAATAATAATAATAATAATAATAATAATAATAATAATAATAATAATAATAATAATAATAATAATAATAATAATAATAATAATAATAATAATAATAATAATAATAATAATAATAATAATAATAATAATAATAATAATAATAATAATAATAATAATAATAATAATAATAATAATAATAATAATAATAATAATAATAATAATAATAATAATAATAATAATAATAATAATAATAATAATAATAATAATAATAATAATAATAATAATAATAATAATAATAATAATAATAATAATAATAATAATAATAATAATAATAATAATAATAATAATAATAATAATAATAATAATAATAATAATAATAATAATAATAATAATAATAATAATAATAATAATAATAATAATAATAATAATAATAATAATAATAATAATAATAATAATAATAATAATAATAATAATAATAATAATAATAATAATAATAATAATAATAATAATAATAATAATAATAATAATAATAATAATAATAATAATAATAATAATAATAATAATAATAATAATAATAATAATAATAATAATAATAATAATAATAATAATAATAATAATAATAATAATAATAATAATAATAATAATAATAATAATAATAATAATAATAATAATAATAATAATAATAATAATAATAATAATAATAATAATAATAATAATAATAATAATAATAATAATAATAATAATAATAATAATAATAATAATAATAATAATAATAATAATAATAATAATAATAATAATAATAATAATAATAATAATAATAATAATAATAATAATAATAATAATAATAATAATAATAATAATAATAATAATAATAATAATAATAATAATAATAATAATAATAATAATAATAATAATAATAATAATAATAATAATAATAATAATAATAATAATAATAATAATAATAATAATAATAATAATAATAATAATAATAATAATAATAATAATAATAATAATAATAATAATAATAATAATAATAATAATAATAATAATAATAATAATAATAATAATAATAATAATAATAATAATAATAATAATAATAATAATAATAATAATAATAATAATAATAATAATAATAATAATAATAATAATAATAATAATAATAATAATAATAATAATAATAATAATAATAATAATAATAATAATAATAATAATAATAATAATAATAATAATAATAATAATAATAATAATAATAATAATAATAATAATAATAATAATAATAATAATAATAATAATAATAATAATAATAATAATAATAATAATAATAATAATAATAATAATAATAATAATAATAATAATAATAATAATAATAATAATAATAATAATAATAATAATAATAATAATAATAATAATAATAATAATAATAATAATAATAATAATAATAATAATAATAATAATAATAATAATAATAATAATAATAATAATAATAATAATAATAATAATAATAATAATAATAATAATAATAATAATAATAATAATAATAATAATAATAATAATAATAATAATAATAATAATAATAATAATAATAATAATAATAATAATAATAATAATAATAATAATAATAATAATAATAATAATAATAATAATAATAATAATAATAATAATAATAATAATAATAATAATAATAATAATAATAATAATAATAATAATAATAATAATAATAATAATAATAATAATAATAATAATAATAATAATAATAATAATAATAATAATAATAATAATAATAATAATAATAATAATAATAATAATAATAATAATAATAATAATAATAATAATAATAATAATAATAATAATAATAATAATAATAATAATAATAATAATAATAAAAATAATAATAATAATACTCATACTGTTTATTGACATTTAACATGTACAAAATTGGGTACATTTTTAGTCAGTGGAAATCTTACATAGCTAAAATATTATATTATAAAACCTAAATTAGTAAGATATAAAATATTATGTATAATGTAAAATAAAATAATAAGACTAACAAATAGGACAAAATATAAAATATAAAAGGTAAACATTCAATAAAATAAAATACAAAAGGATTATAGGTACTTGTTAAAATGTTATTGTGAACAGTGATTAGCGATTTTATCATATTAATGGTTCAAATATTCGTTTATAGAATAGAAACAGTGTTCTAGTAAGTAAGTTTTTGCTAACTTTGAGAATGTAAAATTTCCCATGTTTTTAAAATCTTTATTTTTAAATTTATTTACAAATATATTGTATACGTTCACATTGATTTTGTTGTTTTTTGTTGTTGCGAGTCTTGAGTACTGAGGTATCATGTTATGTGCATTACGTGTACCATATTTGTGCATATCAGAGTGTAGTATACGGTGTAGTAGACGGCGAATTTAAATTCTCGGTTCGTGTTGGTTAAGGTTACCGATGGTAACTTTGATAAAGTCAGTCCATTTATAATATCGAAAACATTATATGGTTTAGTTGGAGAAATAAAAAGTGTAAAGAAAATTAAAGAAGGCTTATTAATTCAAACGACCTCAAATGCACAGACAAAACGTTTACTCGAAGTTAAAAGATTCGCAGGTTTAGATGTTTCAACTTTAACACATCCAACTTTAAATTCATCAAGAGGTGTTATTTTTTGTCACGATCTACTGAATTGTACAACTGAAGAAATAGTAAAAGAACTAGAACCTATAGGTGTTACAAACGTAAGAAGATTAAAAACTAGGAAAGATGGAATATTAGTCGACTCTCCCTCACACGTTTTAACATTTAACACACCAAAATTACCCGACTCAATTAAAGTGGCATATTATAAATTGAATATTCGACCATATATACCTCCTCCAGTTAGATGCTTTCACTGTCAGTTATTTGGTCATGTGGCACAAAAATGCCCCAACAATAAAATATGCGCATGCGGAAAAGAACCTCATGATCCTCCTTGCATTGATCCAAAAAAATGTGTTAATTGTGAAGGAAGCCATTCAGCCAACTATAAGAACTGCCCTAAATATAAAATTGAAGAAGCAATCCAGAGAATAAAAGTTACCGAAAAAGTCACGTATTCAGAAGCAAAAAAGAAAGTTATAGTAAACACTCCAATAACTAACGTTTCATATGCTACAGCATCGAAAAATCTAACACCCCAAGTAAACGTTGAAAACCTAATAAGTAATTTCATACCCCAGATAGAGTCAATTATTAAGAAAGTAATGACCAACATTATTATCCCACAACCACCCCTACCACCCCTTCCATCTCAATCGACAGAGCTACCCCCCCCTCGTTACTCCCTAAGACATAAACGAACCAGATCCGAGAGTTCTGATATCGAATCGCTGACTAGCGAGACACAATACAGCTCTCAAGCTGAAAAAACTAAAAAAAAACATAAACAGAAAAGAGGTAGACCACGGAAAACAGACAAAATCAATACAGAGTTAAGCCCAGAACCTAATAAGGATTCTGTTGTTCTTCCTCAGATCCCACTATCACCTTTACCTTTGATAGTTAACTCATCTTAATATATTCACTTTATAAATATCGTAAAGCACTTATTATACAATTATTTTTGTACATTTATTTTATATACATATTTTATACATATTATTATATACATAAATCTTATACATATATTTTATACATATATTTTACCCACATATTTACAAAAATCTAATTATTTATCTATACATTTTATATTAGTATTCACTTACCTTCAATTATTACAATATATATCTCTACAAACTATGTATTTAAATACTATTCATATTATATCTATTTTACATAATATAAAACATATCTTACGTTCTATATACAACAAAATTAAATTCACTTCTATTAACAAATATATTCATATACCTTCAAACCAAATAAAATGTCAACTTTCGAAAAAATCATCCAATGGAATTGTAATGGCTTAAAATACCATTATATGGAACTAAAAGAAATCCTTTTACAAGAAAATCCCTTTTGTTTGTGTCTCCAAGAAACACACCTAAAAGAAAATGAACAATTTTCATTAAGACAATATAATGCCTTTAAAAAAAACATTAACACAGGCCAAAGAGCTCACGGTGGAGTTGCTATATTTATAAAGGAAAATATACATGTAGAAGAAATCCAACTTAATACCAACATCCAAGCAGTTGCACTAAAATTAAACTATCCACATAAAATGACAATCTGCAATATATATTTTCCTGATATAAATTGGACTGCAGAAGATCTAAAACATCTTATCGAACAACTCCCTACTCCAATCTTACTGATGGGCGATTTTAATTCGCATAACACTCTTTGGGGCTCTAGATCAACAGATCGTAGGGGTAGAATTCTTGAACAAATAACAGATGAATACAATCTTAACATATTAAACAATGGAGAAGGAACCTACATCAATTCTAGATCAAACACACTTTCTCCATTAGATCTATCAATTTGCTCACCTATACTAGAACCTAAAATAAAATGGTCAGTCTTCGAGGAATGTAATACAGATCACATTCCTATATTAATTGAATTTAGTGAGAGAATAATGTATAACAACCTACCAAGCAAATGGCTCCTAAATAAAGCAAACTGGTACATTTATCAAGGCCTTATGGACAATTACTCTGCTGAAATCGATGACCCAAATGAATCAGTGGATAGCTTTAGTAAAGCCATTCTTCAAGCTGCAAAACTCTCAGTACCCCTAAGTAAAAATTAAACCACAAAAAAAGTTCCATGGTGGAATGAACAAATTTCTGCTGCAATCAAGGAGAAAAAAAGAGCCTTTAATATATTCAAAAGAATGAAAACAAACGAAACAATGATGTTATTCAAACAAGCGAGAGCAAAAGCGAGATACCATATCGTACAATCAAAACAAAAATCGTGGAAAGATTATATAAGCTCAATCGATTCAAATACTCCGCCTACAGAAATATGGAAAAAAATTCGGTGCATAATAGGAAGAAAATTTAAAATACCCTCTCCTCTACTATTGGCTAACAATGTTGAAATTACAGACCCAGGAGAAATCGCAAATGAATTAGCCAAACACTTCCAGATGGTTAGTGATACAGTAAATGTGGAAATTCAAGATAATGATAGTATAAATTTTAACACTGATCAGGATTATGAGTATAACTTGCCTTTTAACTTAAAGGAATTGGAAAATGCCCTAAAACATTCCAAAACATCAGCTCCTGGGAACGACCAAATCGTGTATGAGTTCCTTGACCATCTATCTGAAAACCAAAAAACGCATTTACTACATATATATAATCAAATCTGGCAAAAGCATACATTCCCTCCAAACTGGAAAGAGGCCACTATCATTCCGATTCCCAAGTCCGGGAAGAACACCGAAGAAGCTAATAATTATCGTCCTATTTCGTTAACATGTTGCATGGCTAAAATCCTCGAAAAAATGGTAAGTATGAGACTGATGTGGGAACTTGAAAAAAGAAATCTACTAACAGATTTTCAAATGGGGTTTCGAAAAAACCGATCAACAAATGATCAACTCGTATTGTTAGAAAACGCAATACAAAATGCTTTTGCAAATAGAAACCATATCGTTGTTACCTTCTTTGATCTAGAAAAAGCATTTGACCAAACTTGGCGCTTAGGTACTCTTAAAACGTTATCTAACTGGGACTTTAAGGGACATCTTCCATATTTTATCCAAAATTTTTTAAAAGAAAGAACATTTAAGGTCAAAATTAACCAAACGGTTTCGGAAGTTTGTTCTCTAAAAAATGGCATTCCACAGGGATCGACATTAAGTGTAGTCCTATTCGCAATAGCAGTAAATGGACTTGCCACATCAGTAGAAAAAAACATTGGAAAAAGTATTTATGTAGATGATATGATAATGTACTATGAATCCAAAACGATAGAAAACATAGAGGAAACTATGCAGAGAAACATTAACAAATTAACAAGCTATGCAGAAGAACATGGTTTTTCAATTTCTAAATCTAAAACACACTGTGTTCATTTCTGTAGGTTAAGAACTCCCCATAGAGAACCAAAACTCTTTTTGGGAGAACATGAAATTGAAATCAAATCCTCTACAAAGGTCCTTGGGGTTATCATGGACAACAAATTAAACTGGAAAGAGCACATCAACAGCACAATCACAAAATGTAAAAAATATCTAAATATTATGAAATCTATTGCTAGCATGAAATGGGGCTGTGACAAAAATGTGCTACTTATGTTCTATAAATCCCTTATCCTTCCTAGAATCGACTATGGTAGCATTATCTATTCCTCTGCAAGAGAAACCACTCTCAAACCTCTCGACTCAATTCAAAGAGTAGCTTTAAATACAGCATTGGGAGCCTACAGAACAAGCCCCTACCTTTCTTTATGTTGTGAAACATCTATCCCCCCACTGAAATATAGAAGAGAACAACTGATATCTAACTATTGGGCTCAAAATGATCATCCAGTTTCTAAAATACTTACTCCTTCAGATGAAGATGAAATCTTTAACAGAAGATCAACAATAACTAGACCAGTCCGAATTAGATTCAAAGAACTACTAGAAAAACTAAACGAAACTTACCCGTTCCTCCTTTCTCTTCAACAATTCGAGGTATCTCCATGGTTACTCAAAAATCCACGCATTGAACATGATTACCTAAAACAGAATAAAAATGAAATACCTAGAGATTTAATAAAACAAAAATTTTTGGAAATTACAAATACTCACCCAGATAGCAATGTCATTTTCACAGATGGGTCAAAAAATCCAGATAAAGTTGGTAGTGCGTTTATTACTGAAAGCATCACCTCTACCTGGTCCTTACCACCGGCTGCTACAGTATATACAGCGGAACTTTATGCAATATGGCAGGCACTAAAATTCGTTGAATTTGACCACAATAAAACCCATTTAATTTGCACAGATTCACTCAGCTCACTTCAATCCATCCAAGATACATTTAGTAACGATCCATTAATCAAAAACATCTTAACAACTCTGTTCCATCTCGATTCAATAGAAAAACATGTAATTTTTATTTGGGTCCCAAGCCACGTAGGCATTCAAGGTAACGAAAAAGCTGATCAAGCTGCAAAAGATGCACTAAGAGACCATCCAGAAAATATCCCAATTAGAGCTGAGGACTACAAAGTATATATTAAAAATAAAATTCTAGTACAATGGCAAACGGAATGGCGCCAACACCATTCAAAACTAAGTAGAATCAAACCTTCTGTAAACACCCAGCACCAATTACTAAATCTAAATCGAAAAGAACAAGTTATTCATAACAGACTCAGAATAGGACACACCTCCCTTACCTCCTCTTACCTATTACTCGGTGAAAATCAGCCTCGTTGTGACATATGCAGAACAGCACTCACGATAGATCACATACTCTTAGACTGCCCCGCATATGAAAATATTAGACGCCAATTACTAATTCCCAACAATATAGTGCTCTGCTTAACAAGTGAAATATTTTTTAGAAAAATCCTATACTTCCTTAAAGCCATTGGTATTTACAACAAAATATAAATTAACTTATCTTACAATCTCTCTATAACTTCCATTATACTAATCCTATTACGGTTTTCATATTGTATACCTACATGAATATTACTGTTTGATCAAAACTCCTAATATTCCAAAAATAGCAAATCTGAAAATAATAAGTTCTGAGATAGTTTAAATAAAGGCTAATGATCTAGTAATCGATGCCTTAAACACAAAAAAAAAAAAAAAAAAAAAAAAAAATAATAATAATAATAATAATAATAATAATAATAATAATAATAATAATAATAATAATAATAATAATAATAATAATAATAATAATAATAATAATAATAATAATAATAATAATAATAATAATAATAATAATAATAATAATAATAATAATAATAATAATAATAATAATAATAATAATAATAATAATAATAATAATAATAATAATAATAATAATAATAATAATAATAATAATAATAATAATAATAATAATAATAATAATAATAATAATAATAATAATAATAATAATAATAATAATAATAATAATAATAATAATAATAATAATAATAATAATAATAATAATAATAATAATAATAATAATAATAATAATAATAATAATAATAATAATAATAATAATAATAATAATAATAATAATAATAATAATAATAATAATAATAATAATAATAATAATAATAATAATAATAATAATAATAATAATAATAATAATAATAATAATAATAATAATAATAATAATAATAATAATAATAATAATAATAATAATAATAATAATAATAATAATAATAATAATAATAATAATAATAATAATAATAATAATAATAATAATAATAATAATAATAATAATAATAATAATAATAATAATAATAATAATAATAATAATAATAATAATAATAATAATAATAATAATAATAATAATAATAATAATAATAATAATAATAATAATAATAATAATAATAATAATAATAATAATAATAATAATAATAATAATAATAATAATAATAATAATAATAATACTCATACTGTTTATTGACATTTAACATGTACAAA